ACAATTCTATAATCTCTGTAACAAAATTCACAAAATTTACAAACTCTGATTAAATTGTTAAGAGCCATTCTAGAGTTTATTATAAACAACAAAAAATAAACTACCCAGGGCTCTGTGGTTAAAACTCGAGATTTGTTAATTTTTTTAGGTATCAAAATATCACATAAGCAGTAGTCAAACACCCTCAACAGGAATACAAAGTCAAAGTAATCTTGTCAATAAGCCTTCCCCACATTATTAAAAGCATCAACTTTTCTAATCTTCTTCTGAATAGAAAGTCTTTTATGTGCAATCAGGTTAAATTAAATCCATTAAACTCCTATAAAAATCCCAACCCAGGCCAGCCTTTGCCTGTTATTCTAATCCTCATTTAGCTTCAAATACTCTTTATTGAGTAGTCAATAGGTATCATATTTTTTTTTTCTGCCTATGTAAGAAGGATTACCAAGTTCCACTGTATCAGTGAGTAACGGAACCATATAGCGATCAGAGGACTAAATTAGAGACTTGTGACATGATTATCTCAGTAGAATAAAACTTTCAGCACAAGTATAATTTATCTCAAAATAAGTAAACTTTGGAAACCAAATGATTTGCCTACCTTTTCGAGACTACGTCGTATGTTTTTCTCATGTACACTGTTGACATAAACATGGTGCAGCTAACCAAAGGCAATCTAAAGTCTTACTCAAAGCCTCAAACATGTGACTACCAGTTTTTGTTTGATCCCTCCTGTCTGATATAAATTACCTAATAATCGTCATTGTTTGCCTATTAATAAAATGTTTCATTATTCTGTTCATTATTCTGTGCATAGTGTTCTCAGCAACATAATAATACATAGAATGTTACGTGTACTGGAAGAGGCAGACTTTAGACCGAGTCACAAATAACTAGATATTAAGTAAAAGATGAAAAGTCGAGGCTTAAATAGCAGGTGCTGGCCTTCTACACTGTGGGGATTTTCCACTGGTGTGCTGTCAGAGGATCTTAGGTGTGCCGTGGACATTTTTAAAGATCATTAGTTATTTTCCAAGGAAGGTCAAAAGAACAGTATATTCTTTTTTTTTTAACTCCTTTTTTTGATCAATTTAAGTGTGCCTCAGAAGTTTAACATAGGTCCAAGTGTGCTGTAAGAAAAAAAAAGGTTGAAGAACACTGGTCTAGAGGGTTTTGTCAACTATTTGCATTTAGAACCACCTGGCAGGTGTGTGAAAACAGAGCCTTGATCTCCCTGAGTCAGCCTTTGGTGATGAGGCGCTATAGTTTAACAACCCCAAGTGATTCTAATCCCATGAAAGCTTGACAACCACTGCTCTAGAAACATACTCGAGATGCCATATTTTATCACTGCAATGCTCAAAATGAAAACATGTTTGCAAAGAGAACATTAACAAATGCTAAAATCTTCCCTGAAGTTAAACATTTTTCACACTCTATTACTTCTGTGGGATTGCTGTAAGCTCTGAATAAGGACATCTAATTTTCTGTGACTAATGAATGAAATCATTTAGTTGGTTGACTCATCTGTTCATCTATTTAACAAGTTACTGGATATCAATTATGAGATGGGGACTTCTTATATGGATATTTTCTTGTGATTAATAAGATAGCAATTAAAAGTTTTCAAAGACAATCCCCACTTCTTCTACTTGAAAGATGTTCGAGACTTTACCAGTGGATAGTGTTCGGTAAAGGAGAGAATGAATGCGTTCATGGATTCCTTTTGCACCATAAAAAATTTACTACACTGGGCGGCACCTGTGGCTCAAAGGAGTAGGGTGCCGGCCCCATATGCTGGAGGTGGCGGGTTCAAACCCAGCCCTGGCCCCAAACTGCAAAACTACATCTTGAAGATAAGTCAGAGAATGATCTCCCTAAAGGCTAACTCTCTGTAATGAAGCAGGGGTATGATTTAAAAACTCAGTCTCGGGCGGCATCTGTGGCTCAAGAGAGCAGGGCACCAGCCCCATATGCCAGAGGTGGGTGGCAGGTTCAAACCCAGCCCTGGCCAGAAACTGAAAGGAAAAAAAAAAAAAAAAAAACTCAGTCTTTTTTAGTAGCCATAGATTTTAATAATTTTGTAAAATCATTACTGAAAGCGAATTCCTGCTTGGAAATTACAGAAAGGTCTCTCAAGGTCACAACATGGAAATTTAAAAGCTGCATTTCAGTGAGTGATGCTTAAAAGAGATTTGCTCTTTTTTTAGACAAAATTAAGAAGTCTGAATTTTGAAGTACAGAAAGCACCTGGCTACAAAGTCTTGTAAAAGATACCCAATAAAAAAAGAATGCTACGGGGCAGCGCCTGTGGCTCAAGGAGTAGGTGGCGGGTTCAAGCCTCGATCAAAACTGTAAAAAAAAAAAAAAAAAAAAAAAAAAGATATGATCATTGATATAAAACTTATGGTGTATGTGAATGGGATAGTTAATATGTTTTTATATATAATTTTTAAAATAAATGTTTCAATAGCTTGTGGCTGATATTAAAAGAAATGTTGTAAAGGCCCCTCAAATGTTCTAATCTTAAGAGACTGCCTTGTGAAACCCCCTAATTTTATATATGAGGAACGTGAAGTCTACAGAATACTGACCCAAGCTTCTTTCCCTAACTAGTAACATCACTAACATCTTGAATTTCTGTTTCCCAATTTAATATTATTTTGTGGTTTCACGTTAGGTGCTGTAAATATGTCAGTTTTTGTGAGTAATTATATGAGAACCAGAAATCAGACAATCAACATCTTATTTTATATTTGTCTGAAATATTGTAGTAAAAATAGAGAAAGAAAGGGCAAGACGAAGGGGCCAGTATTTTTACAGATTCAGAGAACCTTCACCCCAGAAGAAATTCAAAATTCAAAAGCCTATTTCAGAATTCCATGAGCAAAAAATCCAGATTTAAACCCCAAATAACCAAACATTTGACCAATTAGGAGACCTCAAGATGTGGTGCAATGAGCATGTGGGAAAATAACCTGCAGGTGGGATTCTCTGAAGTCACAGCCCAGAGCAGAGCTGCTCCTCAGAATCACACTGCAATGTACTGGCAGTTTCTAACTGTGACGCCGAATCAGGGCCTGTTAATGTGAATAAGAAAGCAAGCTGCACTACCATCGGGCACTTAGGTAAGTGGAATTCCTGCCAAAGGGAGTCACAGTCCACGCAGTCGGAGCCATTTATTCCAACCACAGCAAAATAAAACAGACAAAATACACAAGACGTAGCCTTTCACGAAAAGAAAAAAACCAAAAGATGAACGTATTCATTTCAATTAAGCACGACAAAATATAACTAAAGACAGACTAAAATCATGAAAAGATTAGTTTAGAAGGGTTTTGACCAGTTTTCTGAATTACACTTCCTATAAATAATTAATCCTCTAGGGCTCATTAGAGTTCAGACTGCATATTTGATTCCCATTACTCGATCAACAATTACAAATCCAACCCCCAGGGTTTGCTTTAGAAAGGGGAGGGGACATAAAATCGCTTGACCTGCTGAGCATTCAATCATTTAGAATATTTAAAGTTTCATAAATTTCTTCCAAATGCATCCACATTAGCTAATTAATGAGTACAATGGGGTGACAACAGACCTCTCTAAAATCCAGATGCATTAGGTATCTCTCTCTAGCAAGAACAATTATTTCATGGCTCTTCCCCTAAACTGATTTCTCTAAAAATGGAATTGATGATAGCCTCTTCCTCCTAAGATTGCTTTAAGGATTCCACTCGTGATACATGAGTCTGGTAAATCCGCTGAAATCTGAGCTCCACTGTAATGCATCCATTCATTCATTCATCTTATTCACTGGTAAATAAATGAGTGTTTCTTAACTACATTCCTGCTAAACTCCAGATTAATTACTGGAGTTAATTATGTTCATACAACAGCCTTATTTTTGCCACTTTCTCAGTAATGAACACACATAGAACTTCTCGGCACTTAGTATCGCCTCATCCTAACCAGGGAGAAGAGGAAAAGGAAGAGGAAAAGGTACAAATCAAAGCAGATTTACATGCTTCATGTTGCCCTTTTTTGCTACATCTGTAGCAGCAAATCCATTAATTTACACTCATGTTGAAACTCTGAACAACCACTTCACAATAACATTTCTAGCTTCAATTTCTTTTTCATGTGGCAATAGCAAAGCGCATGCATCTACCGTGTTTCCCCGAAAAGAAGACCTACCCCCAAAATAAGCTCTAGCAGGATTTCTATGCATTTGTTAAACATAAGCCCTACCCCAATAATAAGACCTAGTGATGGGCTGCATAGCCACGCCTTGCATTTCGGAGCGGAGAGGGGGTAAGACATCCCCTGAAAATAAGCCCTCGTGGGTCTTCTTGAGAAAAAATAAATATAAGACAGTGTCTTATTTTCAAGGAAACGCAGTGTCTATGGCTGACTTTGAGGACTTAGAACATCATGCAAATGTCTATTAAAAAGCTCTTATAAGAGCACACCACACAATCAAAGCTACCTTGCTATTTTAATTGAAGTATTATACAGCTTATGCGGAAACTTGTACTATAAATTTTAAAATGTTTTGTGACAGTGGCTAATATTTGTTACATCTTTACAGGAACAATTGTTACGAGCCTGGTGGAATTTGTTATTCTTGATAGCAGCAGCACAACGACAGCACCCATTTAGGAAGCACTTACTTGTGTGGAAAACATTCACGCAACTCTGCAGTAAAAATGCCAATTATTTCCATTTTAAAGACCAGGAAACTGAGACACAGTGAAGTAACAGGGAATTCTAACCCAGAGTCCAAGCTCTTATCCGCTATTCTCCACACAGATGTTGGCGGCTCTTATAAATATTACATTCATCAATCATAGCACACCTGTATTCTAGTGAAATTCTCCCAACACGAAACCAAAAGCTCTGCTTTGAATTTTCAAACAGATTTTGGCCATGGTAACAAACAAGCAAAAAACACACTGAGAATCAGAATGGAATACATAAAGAGACCAACGAACCATCCCTACCTCAAGTCTGTCTGTCCGCATTAATTTCTGCGCAGCTGCTGCAGCAGCTGCAGGTACTGGGACGCCAGGATTCCCTGTAACCAACATCGGTGCAGTCGGCAAGATCTCTGCTGGAACCAGGCTTGGAGAGACAGGTCCCAGGTAGGGATTAAAGGCGGCTGATGCATTGGTGGCTAAGCTTGGTGCAACTGAAAACATTGGCTGAAAAATAAAAACCAAAATTTAATATACAGGGCTCAGTGCAAAGTTTCTATCATACATTTTACACGTAGCACACAATGTCTGACTTTATTGATAAACTATTTTCAATTGCACATGAACTTTATGTCTACCCTGTATGCGTCCTCCACCCATCCATCCATCCACCCATAATCCATTCTTCCTTCCTTTCAATTCCATGTTCATTTACTTTCACTTAGGAATTAAGAATGATTAAATAAGCATTCATCAAATCAGTGTTTTTCTGAAATATAATATGTAAAATATGCATTAAATTCTACACTAAGATTTTGAAACTTAGGGTTCTGTAATGCTTGGGATTTCTTTCTGCTAGTAGATTAATTCTACGTAGGAACTTCCTTGAGGTCACCTAATCTCCATCTCTGTCCTGATTTAATCCTAGCGATTAGTCTAAGAAATACATTTCATAATTGCTATGTCAGACGTACTCGAAAGATATTTACAATTGTTAATAGGTTGCAAGTGTCCAATTATCTGGAATAAAGTAGAACTCCCAGAGGATAACAGAGTTTCACAGTCAGTGTAAACTGTAAATAAATCTCACGGGGGATATGAAAGGTGATGATGACACCATTGTTTTTGAGCCCATAAGATAAAAGTGTTCAGCATAATCGCTTGATGGAGAAATTATAAATGTCCTGGGAGCCTATCACACCCTTCTGAGACATCAACAACAAATTCTCCACAACAGTGAAAACCAGTCTGAAATACAAAGTTGAAATGGAACATTATTAAAGAAATGCTACGTGACTGTTGAAGGAAATAAATACACAGGCAGCATCAAATAAACTAGTGCAACATAGAATTTGTGCCGGAAATACAGAAGAATTGTTTTTTCGCTTTTATACAAATTTGAATATCATGAGATATATCTGTTCTTGAATAGAATTAAGGAATTTAACTGAAATCTACTTTAACAATGTGCTTTTCCAGTTTTTAAATTATGACAGTCACAATTTCTGACTGTACCAATGGCGCATTTTTATATTTCTAGCTCAGTAGAATTTCAGTTCTCAAAGTTTAATGCTTTCTGTAATAATGTTTAATTCTGAAACACAAAAAAACTTGTAGACTAAATGGATGTTATTCTTTCAGGTAATTTTTCACAATTTGTTTTCTTTACCCAGCAGCAAGGAATAGGCCCATAGAACATTTTTCAGAATGAAAGAGACATTAGAATGTAGCTAATTCTTCCCTCTGATAGGATTAAGAAGTTAGATGACCCCAGAGGATAGATCATATTCAAGAGAGCTTTGGAGTAATGCCTTTTGCAATATAAGGTGCATATTACAAAAGCAATTCTCATGGTACAAAAGACATGCGCTAAAACCAAATATATACTACTCTGCTCCTGAGTCATCCTTCATTTTGAAGAATAAAATGGATGTCAAGTATTCCCTTTGTCCTAGGGCACTGGTCTTCCATTGTGAGTGATCCTGCCTCAGGGTACGCCTGGCACATTTTTGTCGTCACAGCTGGGGGTGCTATTCCATCCAGTGGATGCTGCCAAGTGAACTACAACTGTGGTCCCCAAACCTCTGCTAGGACCAGTGTGGTCTGTGGCTGGTAGGAACTGGGCTGTACAGCAGGAGTCTGAACTTCACCTGTGTTTACACCCCCCTCCCCGACCTCTCCCATCACCATCTGAGCTCTGTCTCCTATCAGATCCGAGGGAGCAGCAGGAGTGCGAACCCTACTTTAAACTGCACGTGAGCAGCCAGGCTGGGCCTCCTTACAGGAATTTAATACCCCTCAACCACTGTCTGTGGCAGAACTGTCTTCCATGAAACTGGTCCCTGGTGCCAAAGAATGTGGGAACTGCCATCTTATAAAACACAAGACAGCCCCTCACTCACAGCAAAGAATTATCCAGCCCCCAAAGTCAACACTTGCCCTGGGGAATGTACTCGTCCCTTGACTTCACAAATTATTCTGGGATGAAATCTTTGTATTTAGCATATGTATTTTTATTAAGAAACTATCTGTGCATTCCAAATATTAACAACAAATAGTCACAAAGTAGGGCTCAAGGCAGTGTCGGTCACCAACAGTTCCTTGACCAGCTGCTGATTTAATAATGCCCCACTGTCCTCTGGCAGCTGAGAGGACCAGGGTTGATTGCATAGTGAATATATGTTGGACTCGGATTTCCATTCAAGAATATTCAGGATTAATCTGTACTTTTATAATATGTTGTCAGAACATAAAAATCCAGCCAGACTAGCACTCTAATTTATGGATAAGACATTGAAGGATTGTCAGAAATTTAACAGAGAAGACCAAATACTAGTTTAGCATATGGACAACAGAAGCCAGTCAGTATCATTTCTCTTTGCATTTTTGTGCTATGAATTAACACGCATTTCCAGACAGTGCATCTGTAATGTACACTTCAGAAAGTTACTGGGATGTTTATGTTAACTGTATATAATCTACTATTATTACTTAGAAGCAAAGACCAAATTTATAAACTTATTTGGAGAGAAGAAAAGCATTCTTATTTTAGTAATATAAGGTCAGCGGCCAATAAATTTCAGCTTTAAGTCTCATCAAATAATTGAAATCAGAAACACTGAAAATACATAAATGCATATAATGTATCCATTGCACATTACAAAGAAAATAATACGTTTCTTTTATAAGAATATTGATCTTATTCACTGGCAACAACCTTCCCTCTGAATTTTCTATGGAGTTTTCAGAATTGGTTTTTTACCTTAATTTAGCAGAGCATATTCAGATCTGAAGAATTTTTGGGCACTGTCCCCAAATAAAGCCTGCAGCAGGTTTTAAAAATCTAAAACATCAACTATTCCTCAAGCATTATCTCAAATTGGCCCCTCTTTAGTAGAGCTATCTGCTGCATAGTCAATCGATAATAATAGCTCTATACTACTTTGTAACTTGATCCCAAAATAAAATTGAAAAATGAAACATTCCTTCATTTTTTAAAAATTCTTTTGTAAATTTGTTACATTGCTTTTGCTTTACTGCCTTTTCAAAGAGCACCTTGTTAGTGTCGGGTCACTGCCAGCCCCATAAGAGTGCCCTGATCACATTAGGGAATCACTTGACCCGCTCCATTGCCAGTTCTCTGTTTCAAAGCTGTCCTGTAGAGGGTTCAGTAGAATCTCAGAGACGGATATTAATGCAAGAGCATCATCGAGCGGCAACCTATTTTGTCTGAAGTGCTCACAGGATAACAAATAACTATGTAATTGGTGTATTGATACTGCCTACGTCCTTGGGATAATGATTTGTGATATCTTTGTTCTTGGAAGAAATAAGGAAGTTTGGTTTATGATCATCTTTTGCCACCGAACACCCTCAACAGAGAAAAACAAATGATAAACTGACTAATTATGGTGCCATTTATGGGTTAATCACTTGTTTAAGTGAGACACACTCAGATCCCCTTGAGGTAATCATCTTCAATATAAAGGGTTACTTAATTTATGAATAAATTTCACATCATGACCCCAGTTAACTATGCAAACATGATTATTACTAGTAATTCCTTCTCTACTGTGCTGAGTGCTCTATCTGTGGGATTGTATTTAATCCTAACAGGAAAGCATAAATTCCCTGGGAGATTCTTTCGTCTGTTGTGTTTGAGGAATGGGGGATGGAGAAGAATGTGATTCCTGCTAACTCCCCAGAACCCAGAACCATGCCTTGTGTAAGGTAGGCACTCAGTAAGTGTTTGTTGAATGAATGCTAGTGAATGAATGGATGAGGGAATTACAAGTTTTCAGTGGGTATTAGCTCCATTTTGCAGATACACGCAGCAATGTACAGATTATTAAATTGGAACTAACTGATCAGCACAGATGTGCACAGGGAAATAAAACTCATAGGAAGTCACGTAGGCCGGGAGGCAGCGAGGGGCAAAGCCTACTTCCTGGGCACAAGGAATGCTGTGCTGTTTTGGTGACACCTTTAGCCATGACTCGAGTATTAAAACATCCATGTAGCCAGAAATATTTGTACCCCCTTAACAATTTGAAATAAATGTGAAAAGTCTAAAAAATAAAAATAAATTAAAAGAGAAAAAAGCCCACAAAGGTTATGTGCCCATAGTTACTTATGAATGGAAGAGCTAGGATTTGAACACAGGTGTGTCTGATTCTCAGTGGTCCTGAAACAAGCAGCTCTCACAAAATGAACCAGGTGTGCCTGAAAATCACCTGCAGGACATTTAAACGGTGGGTGCCCTAGCCACGCCCCACTCGTCAGAAACTCTGGGGAAAAGAAAACTCCTTGGTGATTCCAGTTCCACACACTCCATGGCCTTCCTCAGACACAGGTATGCTTTTATGATTCTATGAAAGGTCTCTAAGGACACATGGTCTGGTCCCTTACGGCTCTCTTCTTTCGAACATGGTTTTGCTCCCACATAGAATGTTATCCTGCCCAGCCTATCTATTTAATTTCTAACCGTGCTGTAAGGATTAAGATTCCTTCTCCTGAGACGTCCCCTGGTCCATCCGTATCTCTATGGATGGGGCTTTTTCTATGAAGGGGCTCTTTCTTTCTTTCTTT